AAGGTTATAGTGGAGCCCACAGGGGACAAAATAGCTGTCAAGTTATTTCACTCTGGTGCAAAGTGATAGACCCACTCAATGAATCAACATTACAGACTGCTGTCATTGCTAAAATGTTTCAATGGCTGGATACAGATGACATTCTAATGCATTTGATTAGATTTGATTACAAATAAACTCTGTTTGGGTGAGTGGTGATTGGCTCGAGTGTGAGTTTGACTCTTTATAACAGTGAAAAGGAGCAGATTGAATAATATTGGAATGAAAAGCTCTATTAATGTTCCACAAAATTCAAACCATGAAACAAAATAGCTTTATTATACATGAAAGCTCCTTTACTCAAACTTCCAGTAATTTCTTATGAATTTTCACACCTCTGTAAAGCATCCGGTCCCAGTTTCTCTCTGTCTCCTTCATGCCCCCTCCTCTCTCTCTGTCTTTGTCGCTGTCCCTGTCTAAGTGGCCGGGAGGATTAAAAGTGTTTAATTAAGAGGTGATTATGTGACAGCTGACCCAGCAGGATCAGGAAGGCTTTATTTTATTGTACCCCATTCTAGATGATATACACCACGTCTCCATATGTCTGTGCTTATTTCACACCTCTCTTTCCCTTCCCCTTGTTAGCTTGCTGTCTAATTTAAACTCTGATTCACTGGTTTGTCCTTTTTCCTACATGATTTCTCACTCCCTTAAGAGTCAACCACTCTGGGTTGATTTGAAAGTGTGTGCTTTGTTACCAGTTAGCAAAAACACTCAGAAAACAGTTAAAACCGAGACCAGTGCAATACGCGAAGTTAAACACTGGTGCTGTACATATTGTATGTGTATTTGTTATTCCTTGATAATCAAATGATGTTTTAAATGCTGCTAAAACATGTGGTGCTGTGCGTGATGTTGCACACGTGAAATATTAAAAGAGTGTGGCTAATATGAGCGGGCTAATGTCAAAATGCCTGTGTAGATGTTTGACATCCCTTCTGTCGTGTGGTTTAAAGTTGGTTTATGCTCACACCTGCACTGTTTCTTTAGGTCATTTAGTTGGTTGTATGGTTGTATTTATCTCACAGGTTACATAAAAGAAGATTGATATCAGTACAGAAGTACCTTATAAACCTGGATTGTTTTACAAATAGCAAAAAGGGGCAAATTGTCTTGTTACTAAAAGAAATCCCACTGTAGAGTGAAGTCCTACTGCCTACTGCTTACAGGATTTATGATCTTAGTAGATGCTGTCTTGATGCCTTTATAGTCTTGATCACTGGTTTAAGACAGCATGATGTCCACTTTTTAAAATTGGATCTCATTTAGATTAAAATATAAATATTAGAGTCTACAAAACCAGTAGGTGTTGTCAAGGTGATCCAGTGCTTCCCTGTATTTGTGTTTGTTCATTTGCTTGTCTCTCATTGTGTTAGAGTACAGTTACAGAAGGAGACGATGATGACAGAATAAAGCTGAGAGTTGATAAGCACAGTATGTGGTGAAAAAGATGGCTAAAACTTGTTTACATCAGTGGTGGGAAGATGAAAGTAAAGGGAGAAGTCCCACTAATTCCCCTTTGTAGCTGTGTGGATGAATATTGCCTCTATGGTTTGTGAGAGAAACAAACAGACTTTTACTCTGAAATGCAAATAATTGATGGGAACTAAAGCAGAGAGGAACATCTGGGACATCCTATAGATGCTTTTACATCCAATGAAGCAGCCATCATTAGTGAGTTGTGTTTATTATCATCATATGGCTTCACATCTGCCTCTGGTGCAAAACTACATGATAGAGAGCCAACCTGGATATAAATACAACTGGACAAAAAGGCAACTTTTTCTCTTTGTGTTCGACAGTGAGAGCAGAACTGTGAGCCAACAGGGACCTTTGTCCTTTAAACACGCCATTAGTCTTGTCACAAATGAGCCCTCAGGAAATATGTCCACTAATTTAGGTCTCAACCCACTGAAGAAGCAGAGGGTTATATTAAGCATGTATACCGTGTGTGTGTGTGTGTGTGTGTGTGTGTGTGTGTGTGTGTGTGTGTGTGTGTGTGTGTGTGTGTGTGTGATCCAAGTGTCTAGAGAAGAAGGCAGACAGATGGGTCACACAGTTTTCCCTCTGTGGGTCTGGAGCTGGAACAGCTAATTACATCTTAATTAAATATGACCTGTCTGTCCCTGCACGTCCCCACCCATGAAAGACATGTATGTGTTTATGTGTGTGATGAAGACGCACCAGCTGAGAGTGCGAGTATAAGAGTAAAGTGTCTTTTCTTGTTCACTAGTTTGAAATTAAGAGCAGCACAGAAATATAAATGTGTGTGCGTATCTGTATATTATGCTTCCATGAACTTTGTGCTTAAATGATGAACTTCAGTGTCTCCTGAGCTTGTTGTGTGTTTGAGGATGATGAGTGCCACAGTCAGTGTTAAACTTTGTTCAAATCCTTCCAGTTGATCCAGCCCCTTGTTTCTGAATCCCCTGGACATACTTGCAATTTAGAGGGAACTTGTCAGGCAATATACTTGAATAACAATGATTAGCTAAAAAAAGGATAACATTTGAATAAAAAATCTGATCGATCTAGATATACTGTATGGATCTGGACACAACATAAGTCCTCCATAAAGTTTTTATTATTTTGTGCACACGATTGCATAATTGAAAAAGAAGTGAAAACATACTATGCTCATTTCCACCTCTGTATTGGTTGTAGTTAGCAGCTTTGCACTGTTCATGGTTCAGAATAATCCACATTTAGTTTATCCACTGGCTGAAACAGTTTCTGTTACCTGATTGGCTGACCCTTGCTGTTGAACAGCAGTCAGAGAAGGACTAAGCTTCCCTGAAGATTTCTGGTCTTTTTGACATTATGCAGAGCCAGAAGCACTGCTTGCCACCAGGCAAACAACTTGGGGCCCCAGGTCAATACGGGAGACCCTGAGGGCTGACAAACTTCAAACTTCAGCAAAGGCAATGTGCAAAGTTTACAATGACAGTAGAAGAGACCTGACCTCACTAAGGGGACTTTGCCTGACTCCACTCACTCTGTTTGCAAGTGGCAAGCATAGTTCAGTTTAAACAAACCGAATGACAATGATGAAAGAGTTATACTTCAGGGAGAGAAAAAAAAGTAGAAAAAGGTAAAAGAGGAGAAAAGAAATCACAGTTTTGCTATCCCGCGTGATGCTGTGTGGGTTCTCTGTTATTATTTGCTATTTATTTCTTCAGTATGTTACATCATGTTTATCTTTTGTTCATTGTCTGTGTTTGTTTTAAAATGTGCATGTGAGGATGAAATAACCTTACTTGCTGTAGAAAAAAATCTACCTTGGTCTCTTGTGTTCTGGGGGCCTCTGGATGTCTGGAGTTTTGATCTCCTCCATACCTGCTTCATGCCCTGGAGGACGGGGCTGCGGCCCCCCCACACCCTCTAGCAGATCATTACATGAAGGAACCTTTTGAAAAAACAAGCGCGTCCATGCTCACAGGTGTACACACAGGTGATCACACCCACAAACTACACCCTTTTTGGCTCCTACCTCAAAGCACACTGTTCTGTTGATCTTATGTGCTGCACAATAATGTTTAATATTTAGTATTTACTGTCATATTCCCATATATCATTGTGATGTTGTTTATTCTATTACTCTTGTTCTCTTCCGCTTGTTTTCTTTTTTCTTTCTCAGCAGGTGATCCAGGTGATTGATATGCATTTTTTTCCTTTTTTTTTTTTCTGCTCATTCTGTTGGTTTTTGTCTTTTGCCCTTCTCCCCCGTCCCTCTTCTCAGCTGTTTCTCTTTCCCTCTTTCTTTCTCCCCTTCTTTCCCCCAGTCAAGTCTGTCCCGTATTCAGTAAGTGAAAATAAAATAAACAATAAAAGGTGAATCAAATGGACCATTACGGCAAGGCTGGGATGGTCAATTTGGTAAAGTAAATCCGTTGGGCATCTTTCTTTGCCTTTAGGCAACAATTCTGATGGCAAAAGAGCCAAACGGGACAGGCAAAATAAATAAATAAATAAATAAATCTACCTACAGTACAAATAAAGCAACCTAGCCTAGCCTAACTTAGCCCAAATAGTGAGTGGAGCAGATAATAATAATTAAATTAATGCTAAATACCTAAATGCTGCGAGTCTAGTCTTAACTATGGGAGAAAGACAGGATGTAATGCAACTTTCACTAGAATCACATTATTTCATGTAAATTATTCTGGCATTTAGCATTAGTTAAGTTAGCTAGCCGAGCAGGAAGTGTGTTCAGCTCTGCTAGCTGGAGTATGACCTAACTGAGCATGCTCATCCAGGAGTCAGAGACACGATACCGGCAATCCACTTGTTACTGTAGCTAGCTAGCTACACTTGCTGGCAAGCAGTATTAACACTTCATAACCAGTCAGTGTGGTTTAGTTATCATTACCAAAAAAAAAAAGGTCTCTGCCATTTCTATTATAATGTGTTGCCTATCAACTTTTATTGTTTCTGGTGTCAGATAATTTATAACAAAGTAGTGATGACGGTGGGAAGGATTTTTGCCCCGGGCCCCAACAAACCCTAGAATCACCACTGTGCAGAGCCAAATTTAGCAAAAACTGAAGTCTGAAGCCAGAATTTTTATCTTAGCTTCCAGACTTTAGCAATTACAGAAATTCTCATCTTATTATTTAATACTATGGCCATATTTATTATTCGCATCCACTATTGTAAGTGAAAAAACTTTTAGTAGTTTTTGTGTTTAGTAGTTTTTTTTTAGTAGTTTTAGTAGTTAATTCTTTGGGGTCTTCATCTGGTAATGAAATCGTAACACTAAATCAATAGTAACTTAAAGTGTGTACAAATCTTTAAAACAAAGTAAATCTAGAAATTGCAGCTAAATAGTTAAAAATTGAATTGGTGAAAATTTTAGCTAGAGCTAAGAGTTCGGTAGCGCCATGTTATCATGTTATCAGCCATGTTCTGTCAGCTCAGTTTGCTTGTATGGTAACTCATACATGCCAAAAAACAAAACTTGCCATTGTTGGAGCGCAGCGCTCTGGCAGAGATGCCGTTTGTGCCTATAGGATGATGAACACCAGTACCATCCACTGCTCCGCCCTCCCCGGGTTGCTTCAGAAGCTCTGTCAAAGTCCTGGAGGGAAGAAGAAAAACAACATTTACACACTTTGAGCATCCTGCACACAATCTGAGACAGTAGACAAACAAATTGCCTAACGAGCTTTCACAAGTGCACTCACGCACATCCACAAAAAGGGAAGAAGAGAGGAGAAAAGTGTGATATGAGGCAAAGATAGAAGAATGAGAGAGAGAGAGCGCTGAAACAAAGAGGACCAGAGGGAGAATGTTTGAAAGATTGCTTAGCTGGGACTGTCAGAAAGATAATAAAAATTGGAAAAAACAAAACAAAACATGGATGTGCATATAATATGAACTGCCTTTTTTTTTTTTTAGCAAAACAACTTTATCTCAACAGCTTTACCTGCGGATAAAGATTATTTACATCAATAACACACAAAATGCTCTGAATTCAATTCAAGACAGTGGAAGTGAAGATAAAAAGGATGAGTCTCTGGTTGTTTGCCAGCTGGGAGCGTCAATCATTTATAAGAAATAAGACAGCTTCCCCTCTTGCTGTCTTTTACTGTTTGATGCCTTTGAACAAGTTCTGATGCCGCTTGAAAACTGGAACACGGGCAGGAAAAGGCCTGCAGATTTAACTCTTTGGGAGCACGCAGAACTTCAGCTGCAAACAAAGACTTGGACTGAGAGTTATATCTGATGCACAGTATGGCGTTACTCTACTTTAAATGTTTTAAAGACACTGGATAATGGCCATGTGGGTGTACTACATCGTGGGGGTACTTCCTTACTTGCTTCAGGATGTGCTGTATGTAAAAATTGTGGAAATGCACAGCTGATTTGGGAAAAAACATCTTTAGTCAGGTATGACAGGCAGGGCTTCGTGTATACTACTGTTTATAGGGTTTACATGCAGTATATTATATGTGAAGACTGCTCTCAGTGGTGTGCATACATTTAATTCATTAAAAATGCTAAGCCTAACCAGATTCTAAATATCCCACTTGTAACTTTAACTTAAATTAATGGACCTTATGTGATGTAATGTCTGCAAGAAGGTTTAGTCCGGAATAAGTCACATGGAACAAACAGGCTGAAAGAGCTAAGCAAAGATTTTTGGAGAAGCAATGGCAGAGAAGATGGAAAAATGACGGAGAAGATGGAAAATGTTGGTTTCAAAACTGCAATTCCTGCCCCGCTTGATCACCATTAATTGCTAAAATCCACTATTTGCTTTTAATAAGGCCAAAGAAAAAGAAACACTCACTGAATTATACACTATGCCACTGCTGACTTAGGAGTCTATAATTGGTTCTTACAAACTTTCTAGTGTTTTGTGTACATGGCAGGAGAAAGCGCGCAATCAACGTGTCGTTTTTGACAAGGAAATTACTGTGACATAGTCAACAAATCAGCTGTGACCTCAGAGCTGCTTTCAAAAGACCCATAAATATTTCCTCACTGTTAATCTCACTGTTGAAACCTTCACACAGCCTCCCAAAATGCATTAAAGCAATTGTCTTTCTATTAGCCTGCTGTGAAATGGTTGCCTGTGGTCATGAGAGCAGTGAGCATGAAAACATTAACATCAGCACAATATAGTGCAATCAAACACAATACACGTGCAAGAGGCAATGAACGCACCCAGCTTTGTGTGTCTTTGCAGGTCATTCAAACTCAATTCATCAAATTTAAATTCTAATAATTAAAAAAGGAAACTCTTATGTGACAGTCACATGGAAAGATGCACTTCTTAATAGGAATTATGCAAAATTTTAATGTCTGTCATTATTTTTTTCATGCATCAGTTTTGTGGCCATTTTGAAATTCCATTATCCAGAAAATTTACTTAGTTCTATGAATCTGAATTGAGCAGTTGACACAGATTGGTGGATGCTTAAAGTCCCTGAAATACTTGTTTGATCTCTGGTAGCAGATTTGGAGGCCTGTAGAAATATTATGTAAAGCAGTTTTACATATACAGTACACGTAATGTTCTTTAAAATCAATTCAAATGAGAAATAAAAGCTTCAATATAAACAAATTATTCTCAGGCAAATCTCAGATGGTCAGGTGGAAAGTGTCTGGTGAACCAACCTGTTGAATAAAATGCTTTTAGTGCTCAACCATAGTAGAAAAACACTATATTAGAAGGAGTGATGACTATGTGTTTGTGCATTTTTCCTGCTTTTTTTGTTTATCTGGTCGACCATCATTACTGTGACCTGTGTCTTATTTCTTTATAAAATTTTCATGTATATGCAGTATATCAGTCTTATAACTAGTAGCCTACACTAGTTACTTACCTGCCTATTTGAATTTAAACATTACTGTCGCTTGGGGTTGACAACTGTCCCGTTTTAGCCAGGATGTCCTCGTCTAATGAGTAAAATTGGTTCGCCCTTTACTCTAACTTAAATATTCCTTTTATATTGACCGTTACCTGGACGAGTACTTGTGTCACAGCTAGGGCTGGGCCATATTATACCGTTCACGGTAATACCGGTATAATGTTAGGCAACGATAGGAAAATGAAATATCGCGATAGAATGGGAGTAAAACGCGCATGCGCAGTGCCTTTGTTTTCATACGCACATGGCCGATTGTTGAGTGAAACAGATGAACCAGAATTGGTTTGTAAAAATGGTGCAACTTCCGTGATGTGGAACTGGTTTGGTGTTTGTCCGTCAGATACACAACAAAGCACATTTTTTTGCAGAACATGCAAGCGGCCGTTGTTATTGTCGTATTTGTCGGACTAAGATGCTCTTAAATCTGGGAGTAATCTGGGTCCTAAACTCCGTATACTTCAGGTCAAACAACACTGCAGCATCACTTAGAGTTAAAAACTGTCTAAATTCTTTCATCTTTAATAAAACGATCAGCATTGCTGCTTTACCAGGTGTAACTATAAAGTTTAACTTCCAGGCATCCATGAAAACAAAAGTTATTACATTTAACGGAGTTAGAAGTTAGCAGGAAGCTAGCGGAAGTTAGCTTGCTAGTTTCGCTAGTTACCTAAGCATGATATTGCATGTTCTGACTGAGAGATTTCTGAAAAAAATCAAACGTACAGCTCTGCTTTCACTTCCAACATAAATGAAGACAGGAAACTAAACAGCAGTGACGTTTGTAGGGTTACTGAAGTTGGGCTAGCTGGTATATAATGATGTGCTACGTGATCGCTAGCGACACAGCTATGTTAGCATAACATAAACAGTGAAGCTGGAGGACGAACACTAACACTTTTCCACTTATAAAAGTTAACGTGAAGGTTCTTCATGGTTAGAGACAAATGCAATCGCATGGCAGGATACTGTAAACGGACCAAACTTCAGTCAGGAGAACAACTGAGATAATCCATCCACAATACGAGGTTAGTCATTAATATACTGCAACAACATGGGAATAGAGCAGCTGCCAGAGAATTCAACATTAATGAATCAATGGTACAGAAGTGGAGGAAGCAAGAAGAATGAGTTTAATAAAGTTTGATTTATCTGACTGCTTTGTTTCGCTTAATGTGCCTTATAATCCCGTGCACCTTATGGTCCGAAAAATGCGTACTGCACACTGCAGTTTAATGTTGCAAAGCACCTCTTTTTAACTTCAGTGGATATTATACATGGTTATGCTCAGGATATGTCAGCCCATTTCTACTGGAAATGCCTTTTGGTTAAACTTTCAGCAAGGAATTTGCATTTGCACTGTTACATTTTTATAAAGCTTTAATGTACATAAAAACCAGCTTCTTGTTTAAGTGAAAATAAATGGAAGGTTGTCTTTTTGCGCTAGTAATGTTGTGGAGTTGTATTTTGTCTCGCATCAATTATATCGTCGGTTATATCGTTATCGCAAATTTTCAAATATATATCGTGATAAATATTTTTGGCCATATCGCCCTGCTCTAGTCACAGCCCTCAGTGACACCCGTCATGTGCACCAGATGTGTGAAATAATACGTCATTTGTGAAAATATGGTGCCGTTTGGTCTGCGTAGCATATCAACCAGGGTACCTGAATCCCCCATTTACAGTATTTTATTTAAACATTTTTTCTTTTTTGCTTATTTTTCAAAGGAAATGCCATATTGATTGTTTTAAATGAGGTATTGATTTAATTGAATACCAACATTTTACTGCATTTTTATTATAAAAATATGAACATAGAGTACATATTTGTATTATGCCCAGCTGGTTGTCCATTGTGCTTCTGGCACGCCACAGTGTCCTTTATTTGATAGCTAAAAAGTTGGCAACCCCACTGTCGCTGGTTGTTCTTAGCAAACCGTGCACTTACCAGCAACAACATTTGCAATGTTGGCTGTGATTGTGGTGCTAGCTACTGCATTTTAGGAACATTTGCAGCGTGTTGTGAATGTAAATTCATTTACACGAAAAACTAATTAATGCTACAGCACATAAAGTGTGTTGCTGTGCCTGCAATGCCTGAAGAAAATCTGCTGTTAGCTCGCTAGCATTATCAGTGCTAACGTTCCTTCAAAGTCTTTGCTGCAATCAGAAGAGAGGGGAACTGAGGACTGAGAGCAGTAAGCATGGAGCATTCACAACTCAGCTCCACTCAGCTGTTATGAGTGCTCTTGGGCAGTTGACAGAGAGAACTTATGTACTCAAAAGAGAATTTCAAAGTATAGAAGTAATAGCAAAAGTCTTCAATAACAAGCGATAGAGTTTAGTTATTCCTTTAGAATTTGTATCCTGTTTTTCCTTTCACATTTATTTTGGTTGAATGTTTTACTGATTTTTTAATTCAACCCAACTTTTTTGCCAAACTTCTGTTTGTTTAAACATCCTGACTCAGTGTCCTGACTTTGATCCTGAATCCTTTATGAGACTTAGCATAAAATAAGCTATACTGTAGCTTATTATTATTTGACACTTGACATTATGTTATAACTGTACTGCTAAAATTTGTGGATCAGTAGTTTTGTTTTTTCTTTTGGAAGTTTGTGGTCTGTTGGAGTGAGTCAGCAGTCACCGGTAATGTTCATTCTGCCATGCAGTGAACATCTATAAAACTGATATTCTAGTC